ATAAAAATATAAAATAAATAAAAATAATGATAAATTTATTTGTAAAATCATTTATATATATAAAAATCACTATATAATGATAATATTAAAAGATGATTTTTTAAGGTTATAAATCAGAAATAAATAGTAGAACTGAAATATCATCTTTAAATAATGTTTGTATTTCCTATTTTGCATCATTATTGATAGCTGGACAACTAATTAATTCTTTTATTTCTCTATATGCTTTTCTTGTATTTTTATACTCGCAGCTGGCTTGCATCGGCAGAAGAAACTACCAGTGTATTAATCCTACAATGACTCCTAGTACAATATTTATTGCAATTTTGTCATGATATCATTGCTGTTCTTAGTCATTCTCAGCCAATTGCTTGTGTCTTAGACATGTGCTATACTGTTTAATACTTAATAAAATTGTCTTCGGCCTATCCAAAAAAAAAAGCAAATTACAACTTATACGATTATTTAATTTTTCTCTGGTTGCACATGATCTCGACATAATCAATGGACCAATGGACCAATGGATTATAGTATTGGTCCATTGATAAATCTATTTTCAATGGACATAGTCCATTGCCAACCCTGGTAGCAAGGGTTTGTACTACATTCGCTATAATCACATATGTATTATAAACGTGATTATTTAAAATGTGATATAAATGGGTTCACGATTGTTCAAGTGTCCCCTTTAATTAGACAATTTGGATCATAGTTAGGCGACTTGAAATTAAAACCTCGTTTAACGTTATTTTTTTTCGTATTTATAGAGGAGGAGGGATGAAAATTAAACAAACATAAAAATTAAACATAGTGTATCGAGAAATCCCGGACGTAAGCCGAAAAGGCCCGACTGCTGTGATGGCTATCATATCGATCAAACTTTCATTTCTATTTGTTTAATTTTTTGGGGAAGCCCGGGAAGACGGAGGGGGGATAACGTTAAACGAAGTTTCAACTTCAAGCGGCCTTATGCTTAATATGAAAGTCCTTATATTAAGGTTTTGGCGTTTAAAACCAGATAACTAAGATAAATAGCTTTTTTTTTTTTTGAAGTTTTGAATTTCACATGAGCAAGTTACTATCGTGAGAGACTAAAAAGATTATCAAATACGTTATAAGTGTAACGATAGCGAGTATCGAAAATCATTCTTTAATTTTAGCCAATCAGGATCACTGATGATCAGCCAATAAAATTGCTTAAAGGACTAAGCTATTTTGTTGCACATAGAGAGAATTGAGATCTATGATCATTATTAGTATAATCATAACCACAACGTGTTTCCTTATTATCATTTGGCGGAAAACGAGATATCATTACAGGTAAATTATATGGAGGAAAAATCCTTTTCCTTCAGAGCAAAATTTTGATGCTTAATATTTAAATAGTCATATCTCGACAATATTCAACCAAATTCAATGGAATCAGAAAACTTGCTCTATAACTTTACTTAGAAATCCAAATTTTTTGTAATATCAAATATAACAAAAAATGCAATTAAATTTATATATAATTTAAAAATAGTATAATCTATCCTTGATATAGTGCACAAGTAATGAGATAAATAAAAATATAAATGAAAAAAATAAATAAGTACAAAATATTATCGTTCTCACTATTACTATTGTTATTTAATGTAATCGATATTGATGCATTAATGTAGAGACGTTAATAGACTCAAACTGCTTGTAAATTTATATAATAAAATAGAGTCAAACAAGTAAATTAACACCTCTATTATTAATGATTTGGAATAGTAATTGTCCGAGCTATCAAATGATCATCAGAAGCACAATCTTATACACATTTACGGCATGTGATTCTGCTACATAACAAATGGCAAATTCATATCAGTTTCGTGCGATCTAATTAAAAAATATTAGAACGTAAGAATAGTTTCAATACTATATTCGATACATAATCTTCATTTCGTGACTTACGCGCTAAGTTGCGGTTTCTGTGTGTATTTTAATGCAAGGATGTCCCTAATATTATTCAGCAGTTCTTGATACGTTTGATTCTTATTTTTTCTTAATCTATTAATATGATTTTATCATTAGATATATCAGCATCATTAAATACATTAAAGAATTAAATTTATAGCAAAGCTAGTATTATAAATACATACGTTTGAATAAAAGCATAAGACATTGCTCCTGTAGACACACCTGCTTCCTTAACGTCTGCAGATGTCTGAGCATCTTTACACCTAAATGTTAAATGATTCAATACATAAATACTACGTAGTGAGAAGTAAAACAATATTAAAAAGATAACAATTCGGACACTTACCCACTAAACATGATAACATCGGCAGAACTAGATTTGGTTCGTTTAATTTTCTCTGCTATGTCGTACCCATACATAGCTTTTACGGTAAAAGATTTGAAAGATGCTTTTATACCTGCTGCATCACCTCTTAAATATGATAACCCGGCATCCATAATTGCATTCGTTCCTGCACAAAAAAGGTTTAGTTGTTTTTC